CTCCCGATTTTCCTCACGCACGTTGCTTTACGTGAGACTCGTTCTGCAACTGAAAGAAATCCCACAGATTGTGAGATTCTCCCAACAAACGTATCGAGTTCTTAACGGGTTGGGTAACTATTTGGCCCATGAGGCCAAACCCACTTACATCTCCCACTTGGCCGAAATGGCCAAATACTTTCTGAGCATACACTCCCACTATCCGTGAGATGTGACTCAAGATGTAATTTCATACTCCCACTATCCGTGAGATATATGCATATTTTCACTCTACGTGAATAAGCCGAGTACAACCATTATCCATGATCGTCTCCTTTCATTTTTCATGAAAGTTTCCTTGACTTAGACATTTCTAAGTCCCATCAAACTAACATGTTTGATGAATGTACCTGCTGGGATACCCTTCGTCAAGGGATCAGCAATCATGTCACTAGTAGGAATATAAGTAATACTGACTTCTTCTTTTTCCACAATATCACGAATATAATGATATTGTATCTCAATATGTTTTCCTTTAGAACTGTTTGCACCACTGTTGATCAAGCTGATGGCTGCTTGATTATCACAGTATATCTCAATTGGTCCATCCACCAAATTGAGATCCAAGTTCTTTAGGAACCGTCTTATCTAGACTGCATGAGTAGTGACCATACTACAGGCTATGTACTCAGTTTCTTGTGTGTATCTTGCCACACATTCATGTTTCTTACTACCCCAAGAAATAGTTACACCACCAAAAATGAACAAATGTCCAGAAGTGGACTTTCCGTCATCTTTGTCTCCTCCGAAATCAGCATCAGAGTAACCAAGAACCTCAAGCGAATCTGCTTGATAAACTAACTTATGGTGCACAGTACCTTTCAGGTACTTCAAAATCCTCTTAACAACCTCCCAATGTGCTGGACCAGGATTACTTTGATATCTACTAACTAAACTCACCGGATATGCCAGGTCTGGTCTAGTACACAACATTGCATACATCAGGCTTCCAACAGCTTGTGCATACGGGACACTAAGCGGTTTCTGCCCTTCTCCAGGACATTGTTCTTTACACAACCGCTTTCCCATAACCAAAGGTGTTGGCGCAGGATTACAATTCTGCATTCCAAACCTTCTAAGTATTGTATGAAAATATCTTTCTTGGTTTAAACTTAACATTCTAGACTTTCTATCCCTAAGGATCTGTATACCAAGAACATAGGATGCATCTCCCATGTCCTTCATCTCAAATTCACTACTAAGTGCTGACTTGATTCTGTTCAGCACTTCTATGTCATTTCCAGCCAGCAAAATATCATCCACATACAAGGATAATATTGTAAAACTGCTGCCACTCTTCAAGACATATACACAGTTATCCAATTTATTTGCAACAAAACCAAGTTGGATAACAGTATTGTGAAATTTGAGATACCGCTGTCTAGATGATTGTTTTAAACCATATAAAGATTTCTTTAATTTATATACTTTGTTTTCTTGTCCTTCAACCTGGAATCCCTCAGGTTGATTCATATATATTACTTCCTTCAACTCTCCGTTGAGGAATGCAGTCTTGACATCCATTTGGAAAAGCTCCAAGTCAAGATGTGCAACAATTGCTAAGATAATTCTTATAGAAGCAAACTTAGCCACCGGAGAGTAAGTCTCCTGATAATCTATACTTGCCTTCTGAGTAAAACCTTTAGCAACTAAACGGGCTTTAAATGTATCAATAGACCCATCAACCTGATATTTCTTCTTTAACACCTATTTACATCCTATGGACTTCCTATCTTCTGGTAAGTCACATAGCTCCCATACATTGTTTCTCTCTATTGAGTCAAGCTCCCTTTTCATGGCTTCCAGCCATTGTTCCGATTCATGTGTGTTCATAGCATCCACATAATTCAAGGGATCAGCTTGCTCATCTATGTCAATGGTAAGTCACATAGCTCCCATACATTGTTTCTCTCTATTGAGTCAATCTCCCTTTTCATGGCTTCCAGCCATTATTCTGATTCATGTGTGCTCATAGCATTCACATAATTCAAGGGATCAGCTTGCTCATCTATGTCAATGTCTACCGAGAAACATGATAGTTCGCATGAATACAGATAATAATCATCCATCCATGAGGTTCAGCTGGTTGATTTACCATAGGCATATTCTCATTTAAGGGCTCATCTTTCATTATTGGATGATTTACTTCATCCACTATGTCCAGGTCATCGTTTGGAACATCATCTAAATCTAGCAGAGGTTGTACTGCCTCTTGAACTTGTTCCTTTTCCTCTAGATTTTCTAGAAAAGTAGCATCTCTACTTTCAATGACCCCTTTCTCTTCATGGAAGAATCTATATCCTTTAGACTTTTCAGAATAGCCTATAAATCTACACTTTAAGATTTTGAGATCCAGCTTATCTCTAACTTGATATGGAATGAGAACATGTACAACACAACCATATTTTCTTAAGTGACTTAATTCAGGTTTGTGTCCATTCCAAATCTCATACGGTGTTGACTCGACTGATTTTGTGGGAATCTTATTCAAAATATAATTCATAGTCAATATTGCTTCTCCCAAAAATCCTTGGAGAGACCAGAATGTGACAGCATACATCTCACTGCATTCATCAATGTTCTATTTTTCCTTTTAGCCACACCATTCTGTTGTGGCGTGTAAGGCATAGTGGTATGTCGTTTAATGCCATAACGAATGCAATAGTTTTCAAATTCCTTTGAATTGAATTCTCCACCTCTATCAGTTCTTAACACCTTAATATATCTTCTAAGTTTTATTTCTACTTCTGTCTTGTATCTTTTAAAACATTCAAATGCTTCTGATTTTTTGTTTAAAAGATACATAAAAGTATACTTGGAATAATCATTTATGAAAGTTATAAAATATTCTTTATTACCACGTGTCTTTACACTTAACGGACCACAAATGTCAGAATGAACTAACTCTAAAAGTTCACTTGCCCTCTGACCTTCAGAAAATGACTTTCTAGTCATTTTCCCTGTTAAGCAGTGTTCACAGGGTAATATCCTTACACCTGTCAGATTTTGTAACAAATCCATTTTAATTATCTGATCTATCTTTCTATTACCAGGGTGTCCTAGTCTCATATGCCATAGTTCTATTACCAGGGTGTCCTAGTCTCATATGCCATAGATCAAAATCAGATAAAAAACACGAGGAATAAAGCAAATCAGAATTCTTATTGCAAATTTCAGGTTTTACAACAGAAAGACAGAACAAATCATGTTCGGGTACAAACTTGCCCATAGCAAACACTTTCTTGTCTTTCCCAATAGAGACCCTATTGTTGTAAAACCTAACTTCAAGGCCTTTCTTCAGGAGAGCTGGGACGGAGATCAGATTACGTCTTATTGTTGTAAAACCTAACTTCAAGGCCTTTCTTCAGGAGAGCTGGGACGGAGATCAGATTACGTCTTATGGCAGGTGCATAAAACACTTCCTTGAGAACCATGATGCTGTCCCTAAGATCCAATCTGTATGAACCAATACCTTCAACATCTAGGTAGGTATTGTTCCCCATGTAAATCCTTTGATCTCCCTTCTTCAGCTCCTTGAAGTCGCATATCCCTTCCTTCGTCTTTGCAATATGTCGGGTAGCTCCCGAATCAATCCACCAGCCACCAGCGTCAGTAGTTGCAGCATTGCACTCAATGACGCCGATGAACTCCCGCTTATCGGATCCTCCTTGTTCTGGGCATTTGGGACCTCCCTTGTTCTTCACCTATGGACAGTTGGCTTTGAAGTGGTCGAACTTTCTACAGATATAGCATGATCCAGGAGGTCCTTTCTTACCGCGAGCATATTGCTGGTCAGGTCCTTTGAAGGAAGGTTTGACATGTCCAAACTGATGAGTTCCTTGTGCCTTGCGATAATGAGCTGCATTTGCTTCTTCTTGCTACACAATGTTCACATTTGAATATTTTCTCCTAGCTAGTAAATCATGTTCCATTGCTAACTGGGCTGGCAAGTCAATAATACATTTAATGGTTCCATTAAGCCTAAGGGTTGTGGCAGCCATAAAATAGTTGCCACCTGTAATTTCTTAGGAATTTCAGATCCTGCTAAAGTTAGGTCCTTAGCCATAACAATCATCTTGTTCACATGTTCGGTAACATCTTCACCTTCTTGCATACGGCTTGAATTAAATCTATGCATCAAGAGCTTAATGTTCACCTCAGAGGTAGTTTCATACTTCTCTTTAACTGCAAGCCACATTTCCTTATCCGTATTATAGTTTTCAAAAATTTTGATTAAACTATCTTCCATGAACATTAACATTAGGCTTTTAGCCTTATTGTCCTTAAATTGCCACTGATCAAGCTCCTTTTTCTGAGCGTTAGTGGGATTGTCACCAAGAGTTAGTGCTGAAACATCTAGGACACTATCTAGATTGTCATGGATAAGTCCGTACTTAATCTTCCTGTGCCACATATCATAGTTGCAGTGGCGTAGCCAGGAATTTTGTTTGCCCTGGGCGAAAATTCTCCAAAGCAAAAAAAATTAAACAAACTAAGAGTGCTTTGATTAGATATTGATAAAAAAGACAAAGTTGTATCATACACATTCAAAATATGAGATACAAAAATTAAACAAAAGTATCTATCTAAGTCGAGCTCTACGAGTATGTCGTGAATCAAACTCCTCTACTATTTCTTCTGTGTCGAGGCTGGAAGTAATTTCTTTTTCAATATAAAGTATCATGTTATTAGCAAGCATTTCATCACCCATCTTGTTGCGCAATGATGTTTTTATGAGTTTCATTGCTGAAAATGCTCGTTCTGTGCTTGCAGTCGAAACAGGAAGAGTCAACACGAGCCGAATCAACCTATCAATAAGAGGATACCTTCTGGATTTTCCTTTACTTACCAACTTTTGGCATAATCCTGAGAGTGTAGTAATATTTTGAAAATCAGGATCACACCGCATATCATGCTCATAATGTTATAATTGATGCCTCAGCTAATAATTAATCTCCATTTCACTCAATTATAATTTCATCACTCTGCTGACAAGAACGACCTGTGCCCTTCACATAACGAGAACTCATATCGGGTATATCAATTTCATGTTTCATACAAAAGGATACTACAGACTGTAGAAAATTTTGCCATTTGTCATCACCTTTCAAGTCACAGAGAAGAGTTTTTGTGATAGATATAGAATCCATACCAGTTAAAATATCTTGATCTTTTCTTTGCAATGATTGACAAAGTACTTCTGTTACTCCCATTATTTCAACCATTAAGTGTAAGGTAAAAACAAAGTCAAATGAACCCATTGTAGTAAACCCACCACTAGCTTCTGCACGGATTTTTCTATTCAAAACCCACCACTAGCTTCTGCACGGATTTTTCTATTCAACCCATCTGCCTTTATAATACCAAGAACTTTCCACACGGGTTTATACAAACCAAGCAAACTACAAGCAGAAGAATAGTGTGAGCCCCAACGAGTAGAAGCAGGTCGTCTCAAAGTAGTCTGCTGATTACCTCCAGTACTTGTTTGTAATTCACCTCTTTCCATCAAATTTTCAACTTCTTCCCTTTGTGCAGCTCTTAGTTGTTGATTCCGCTTAGGAGAAACACGAACCAAATTCACAATGCAATTCAACATCTGAAAGAATAACTCAATGCCAGATAATTCGCCTGATGCTGCAACTAATGCAAGTTGTAAGCGGTGGGCAAAGCAATGAACATAGTATGCATATGGACATTCTTGCAAAAATAAACTTTTTAGCCCACTCCATGCACCTCGCATATTGCTAGCTCCATCATAACCTTGTCCTCTTATATTCTGTACAAGCAATCCCTTATGATCAAGTATAAGTGAACGGTGCCTCGATTGAGGCTCCAGTAATGTCTTTTTTGGAATAAAATGAAAATAAAGTTTTCATTCCCTTTCCAGACATTTTAGCTTCAAAATTAAATAGATTGTGATTAGGATATTAAAAGATTGCATGCATTAAGAAGCACATTAAAAGATTATGATATAGGATATTGAAATTGCTAATGACTACCTAGATAACATCTTAGTCTATAAACTAAAATAATTAACAGAACTAACAGAGAGAGAACTAACAGGCACAAAATAGAACTAACAATTCTATTTCATAATTTTCATCCATGATATGATTCCAAAATAACAGAACTAACAATTCTATTCTATAAACTAAAATAATTAACAGAACTAACAGAGAGAGAACTAACAGGCATAAACAGAATTAACAGATACAGAACTAACTAAAAAGAAGACAGAACTAACAGGAAACACCACAGAACTAACAGGAAGCGTCATAGAACTAACATGAGGGTGAGGGAGCTGGAGGAGGGCGTACCAGTCGAGGTCAAGCCTAAAACGTTGTGCAATCCAGGGCATCAAACTTCTTCAACCAGTATTGTTGAAACATCTACCTTGCATACTCTATATAAACAATGTCAATATCATTCACATGATCCTGGAAAAATATTTTTTTAATATATAGCTTGAGCTTAGATTGAATTAACCGAAAATGGCTTACCAAAATTTTACCCCATAGTCCCCCGCACAAATGGCTTGCAAGAACGTCTTCTCAATGTTGAGTCTGTGAGGCGAGGAGGAGGTCCGAGGTCGGTTCCGACGAGGATTTGGTCGTGGACTCAGGACGGTCATCGTCACTCGTCGGAGAGCTTGGGATCGGCGTCGAACGGTTGACTGGTCGAGGGCTTGCTCTGGGAGGCGACTGGGGGCGGTCGTCGGAGTCTCGGAGACTGGGGGCGGTCGTCGGAGTCTCGGAGAGCTTTGGGATTTGCGATCGTCGAAGGCTAGTCGAAGCCCTAGCTTTTTTTTGGCCAGCCCTTTTTCTATTCCCTGCTCGCTTCGTTTCGAAATATTGGGATTTGGGGGAGTCGGGAGAAATAAAAGGGGTGGGGCTGAATCGGCTGATATACGTGGCCAAAAAAATTTAAAAATTAAACATATAAAAAAAATCATTTTCTTGCCCTGGACAGCTGCCCAGGGCAAGTTCAACGTAGCTACGCCTCTGCATAGTTGGAACCATTAAGACGTTCTATCTTTGCCAGTTCAGATGCAATAAACTTACTAGCCATGTCGATAATAAAGCCGTATGATATTTCAAACAAAATTGATTTAGGTTGCAAAAAAATAAAACTAATATATGCTTAAACAACTATAAAAAAATAATGTTTTAATAATTCAAAACAGTAATTGATTCAAAAACTAACTAATTAAAAATAGTAATTGATGCTAAATTATAAATGAATTTTTTTAATAATGTTTTATCTAAAAAATACAGAACTTAAGCACAACAATAATTAAAAAAATTAATCACACAAATCTAATGCTGTCAAATAGTTTACAAACAAAGAGTATATTATAGAAGAAACTCAAATGGATCAAAAAAATCCTAACTATCATGCAACAAATTCCAATTGATGATCGCTAAAGAGAAAACATGTCAATTTGTGTAGCTGATTAAATCTCAGTATTACTAGAAGTCAATTAAGATCACAACTTTCTATTGTTAAAAAAAATAAAACTTGAATTATTGGCTAGGGGCAAGGTAAACGAAAAAGGTTTGCACACTCAATCAAAACAAAAGAACAATGAGTAGTGGCGTCAAGTAAGATCAAATACCCTAACTTGTTGTAGACTATCAAATAAAAAATTAAACTTGCACACTGAAAACAACGTATATATAATCAATTAAAGAAAACCTGTTGAGATCAAGTAAATGTGAAAGGTACGGAGCCGAGTCGTGGAGGCTAACGCTAGTGATGTTGGATCTGCGACAAGTGACGTCGTCGATGGAGTAGGACATCCGGCGTTGGTCCCAGCTAGGGTATGGGAACGGCTAGAGTTTCGGGCCCTGGTGAGCGACGTGTCGGTCAAAAAGATCGTCGGAGGCTCGCTGCCGCTTTGTTTCTTAGGGAGCTCTGAGGAGAAGGAGGTGCGGGATCTGGAAGTGGGAAGAATCGTGAAGACTTGGGGCTTTGGGGTCTTCGGTTGTTGGGAAGAATCAGAATGAATTTTAATAGAAAAGGGGAAGATCGGAGGCTCTCATACTAGTGAAGGAATGAGAGAGCGATTGTTTTTGGGATTCCGATGGAGATTGTTATTTTCAGATGAGAAGAACTCATCTCTATTTATGGGCGTTTTTTCTCCACCTGCGTCCCCAAAAATCTGCCCATTATCTTTCTAAATCCGAACTCTCCATAAGACCCATTCTCTCCAACGGAAGAAATCCCAGAACATGAGATATTTCCAACAAAACGGGTTGAGTTCTATAATGGGTCGGGTAACAACTTGGCCCATGAGGCCAAACCCACTTACACTATTAAGAATAAAAATAAATAACAAAAAACCAGCTTATGCTTGAGGCTTGAAAGAAAATTTAGGCTTAATTTCATATAACCCTAGGGTTTTTCACATAATCCTCTTGAATTTTATTCATCTGGCATAATAAACTCAAGGGTGTCCTGCAAAATTTCCTTGAACTTAAACATTTACTAAAGGAGAATTTTTTTTTTAAAAAAAATACATTTTTAAACGAATAATTAGCAAAATTGACACTTTTGTGGAAATATTACCAAAATCAACCTCTTTTTGGTCAGATTGAACGATTTTGTAAAATATCAACTTTAAAATATACGAAACTAGTAGTCTGCTGTAGTTAGTTCTTATTAATTAAATAGTAATCATTTCAGCACAAAGTACACAGGAATACCGACCATCTCAGATTAATCATAACTAGCAACCACAAAATTACATGGGAAAACTAGTCTCGTGTATTTTAAAGTTAATTATTTACAAGATCGATCTCTTTTTTGCCAACAGAGATGACATGGCCAAAAAGAGATAGCTTTTGCTAACTATTTTTTAAAAATGTCGATTTTGCTAATATTTCTTTTCCAAAAATGGTCTTTTTGAAAAAAGTTCTCCTTTGCCAAACACTCTATCTATAGTTTAAAAGTAATTAAATGTCTTTAAGAGGAAAAAAAGATAAAATTCATTATTTATCATCTATAGGTAATGTCTTCCCTTCCCTAAATTTTGAATTTGTTTTTCTCCCTAGAAAACTCAAATTACATGTAGGACATCTAGTTAAAAATGTCCAAAATTCAGCGTATTTTTTTAAGATACCCGAAAGTTCAGGGTGGTGTGTAAGATGAACAAAGTTCAAAAGGGTTAGGTGAAAAACCACTCACAAGTTCAGAGGGTTTTTAATGAAATTAATCCGAAATTTTAATTCGTTCGAAGTGGGCCAAGAATTGGGCGGGATTTTTTTCTGGGACGAAGGCAAATACTTTTTCCAGCATGCGCAGTGCGATCTATGCACTAAGTTGGGCGAGTACTAACTCAATTCATTTGGGCCTTGGGACTTAAAATCTCTTAGCTGAAAGTCTAATTTGGGCCTAAACTAGAATGGTATTGGGCTTAATATTTCGTTCCTGCCTTAGACGCACCACCTAATACCACAATTTGTTAGCCTGCGTTTCAAGTTTTACTTTTATTTTTCTTTCATAATAAATGAAAACTGTTACCCTGCTTTTCATTGAAGAGAACAATAACGATGGAGAAAATTTTTTGGGAAAAATGTGTCCAGGCCCCAAAAGTGGGAACTTCGTGTGACTAGCCCCCCTGTATTTTGCCCCATGTGGAATAGCCCCAAATACGCATAGTATTTGCGACGAGGCCCCGAATTGACTCTTTTCAGAAAAAGCCCAGCGGAAGTTACTATCTTGCCCTCTGATGGGACTGAGCTGGGTTAATGTGCCCCTCACCTTTACAAGTACTCTCCCTCTCTTTCTCTCTCTTCCACCTAGCACCGTCATCAAGAACTCTTCATCTTCCTAATTTCTGTACGAATTTCAACGTTTCTAGGGTTTTCGCCGGAAAAATGTCGTCGTCTACGGAAAAATCCAGTAACGACTACGAGGTCGGGCACCGAGCCGAGTTGGAAGGAAAAGGCGCTTCATCTGCGGGTGGCAGCACGGAGGAAGCTACGGAAGCTACGAAAACCCTAATCGAAATGCAAAAGGAGGCATTACAATGGCGAGACCAGAAAAGGAGGACGACAATGGCTGGTCGTACCAACGAACCCCCCTCAAAAAAACAGTAAGTGTTATGTTATACTGCGAACAGACAATGCAGATTAACCCAATATTGTTAGTTCTAGGCTTATGTTATACTGCGAAGAGACAATGCAGATTAACCCAATATTGTTAGTTCTAGGCTTTGTCCAATGTTAGTTCTAAATTTATACCAACGTTAGATCTAGTTTAAGTCCAATGTTAGTTCTAATATGAGTCCAATGTTAGTTCTATAATATTACATGTTAGCTCTATTTTGTTCCCGTTAGTGCTAGGTCTAATATTGTTTCATATGTCTTATTGAACTTACAAATTCGAAATTTTTTTGCAGGAAAAAAATTGCTCTAACAGGCTCAGCAGAAACAATAAGGTTAACGGCCAATATCGGGGCTTATTGGGCATTTATGAAGCGCTTTGCCCCGAAGATCCGTCAGTGGCATAGGGATGCATACTGCGGTTCTATATTTCAGCACTACATTTTGTTTGGGGCTCCTGCGGCTGATCGGCCCACCCTTGAGCTGCTGCTGAGCTTTTTCGATAGAGATAATAACACCTTTTGTATACCTGATTCAAAAAGTGGGGGTATGAAAAATGTTAGTTTTGATTTGCAATGGGTCCACAACCATACTTATTTCCCAATTTATGGGGAGGACATAAGGAACAATAGGGACTCAAGAAGCAGAATATGGCTGGAATACTTCGCTAAGCTTTTCATTTCTGAAGAGGGTAAGAAGTTAAAAAAATCAGAAACCAGCCAACGTAAACATCTTGAAGGGCTACTTGAACGGCTTGTTGAATCTACCAAAAAGCGGGATATCGAGGATTTTGCTCTGCTACAAATTTTGTACCAATGCTCTATGATATGGAGTCCCATAGCAGGGGAAGGTATCCCTAGACCCTTACTCAGATACCTGGATAGCATTCAGAGGGTCAATTCTGTTGCATGGGCCCCGTTCTTTTATAATGAAATTATCAGGGGCATTGGAGTTGCTTTGGAGGGAAAGAAGAAGCAAAAGGTCGCATATGTCCCAGGTTGCATGACACTATTGTGTGTAAGTTCCATATTTTACTGATCTTGTTTCATTCTAATTCGTACCTATGCATTGTTAGTTCTAACTTATTCTATGTTAGTTCTATTCTGTAGCGTGTTAGTTCTAATCTGCACAGTGTTAGTTCCGTTCTGTAGAGTGTTAGTTCTAATCTGCAGATTAGAACTCACACGCTACAGACAGATTAGAACTAACACGCTGCAGAATAGAACTAACACTCTACAGAATAGAACTAACACTGTGTTAGTTCTATTCTGTAGAGTGTTAGTTCTAATCTGCACAGTGTTAGTTCTATTCTGTAGAGTGTTAGTTCTAATCTGCACAGTGTTAGTTCTATTCTGTAGAGTGTTAGTTCTAATCTGCACAGTGTTAGTTCTATTCTGTAGAGTGTTAGTTCTAATCTGCACAGTGTTAGTTCTATTCTGTAGAGTGTTAGTTCTAATCTGCACAGTGTTAGTTCTATTCTGTAGAGTGTTAGTTCTAATCTGCACAGTGTTAGTTCTATTCTGTAGAGTGTTAGTTCTAATCTGCACAGTGTTAGTTCTATTCTGTAGAGTGTTAGTTCTATCTGCACCCATTTAAGTTCTATCATAGGTCATGTTAGTTCTATCATAATTCATGTCGTACCACGTACTAATTTACACCATGTTAGTTCTAGATGCAGCCATATTTTATTCTCTTTAGTCTAGTCTAGTATTAAATGTTAATGGTAAATATATTATTTGGTACAGCTTTGGTACTACGAGATGACAGGCATAAAGAAATATGCCCTCTTAGACACCTCCAGACCTCCAATGACAAATTGGGCATTAGGGGAGGAGAGAATCGCATCTATGAGGATGCCGACAATTATTTCAAAGGCTAAGTCAGCGTCAATAACATTTGTCCATAGGCCTATTGCGGAGGTCGCTTCTCCTGGTCATGTTCATCCACTTCCCGCTGAACAGAGGGATGAAGTTCTTCAGCAAAAGCATCAGGCAAAGAGGAAGACTTTGCAGGAAGAAACTACTAAGAACTTCTCAATAGGTTACGTAAGTATCATGTTATGTTAAGTCGTACTCATTTCACACTAACTGCAAAGAATATCCTAATTATGTTTAATCCTACTTA